ATATATCTAAGGGAACCCAAAGATTGGGGGAAGAATTAAACCAAAAACTTAATAAAGGTTTAAAAAAATTAAAGACAGGCATATTTGATCATGTACAAGGTAGGCCTTAATAAAATGGATTTACAAAGTTAAAACACATAAATCCCAAGGCAAATACTAGGTATGAGTGTAGGACAGTAAATTTTAAAAAGCTGTAGGAAATGGACAGTTTTGAGCAAAATAGCGATAATAAATAACAGATATTGGCCCCAAAGAAATGGGAAGCCATAATATACAGTGACCCTATTGAAAAGATGATTGAATAACTAACCAAGGGTACTTAAGTTCTTTAATTTCATGACCTTCAGTTTCTTAATCTGTAAAATGGAAATAAAGCAACATTTTCCAGACTTTTTTATAAGAATTAAAGAAACATGTTCAATGTAATACTTGGGACACAGTCTGTGTTCAATAATAGTTTTCCTGATATTCAGGGCTTTTAACCCCTATTGAGTTTTACTTCTCTATTCAGATCAACATAAAACTATTTAAGTCAGTCAACAAACATTGGATTCTTCCTTTTCAGATACTTCCTTAACTTCTCAGGATACAAGTCTTTTATTTTTTTCCCCCTGAATCTAAGTATAGAGAAAACAACCAAAATCAGGAAGCAGGAGGATAAATCATTAGGAAGGATAAAAACCAAAAAACTGCACAGGAAGGAGAGTAACATTTGAAGAAACTCTTAAGCATGTTAAATACATATCCACTGACAGCTCTAACCTAGGAAGTTTAGTAAACTAGGAAGATACATCCCATCTTGCACTGGAGGTTGCTGAGGTTTCAGAAGTCTAAGCCCCTCTCCTGCATGGCTGACCTCTTAGCACCTCGAGTTACAGGAAGATAGACCTGGAACGTCTTTCCACCCCACCAGGGAAAGACTGGACCCAGGGTGAAGACTGTGCCACCTGGGAGGTTTGGGAGTGGGGTTTGTGGAATGCAAACTCTTTGGGAGTGGTGCTCAGGGAATCCAGCTGGAGCTCTGAAAGAATGTGGCAGGTCAGTTCTCTGCTGACCTCCTCTCCTTTCCACACCACACAGCTGTGTCTCTTCATCTCCAAGATCTGGCAGTGCTTAGGGCTTTCAGACAACTGCCCGAGCCTCCCTGAACTCTGACCTGGGTGATACAAAATGCCAGGGAGCATTTCTGTGGATAGCGAGGAGGAGACAGTACCAGTCTCTTAACTCAGGAAACACGAGTGCGTTCCAAGATAGCCATCGTGTCACAGCCCCTCCCCACACTCACACAAAGGTAAGTAACATTAGATTCAGGTTGGGCCAAGAGCCAAGTGCTGAGAATCTGCCACTGCATCACAGGAACTTTCGGTGACTCCCATGGGAGACTTGTGTGGAATTTCTACAGACAAGGAGCCACATTCTAGGTAAGGTAACTAGCACTGGAATCAAATACATTCAACGATGCTTGACTGAGCTTAGCTTTGCCATTCACTTTGTAGACTCTGGTTTGTTTGTTTTTGGTTTTTGGGTTTTTTTGTTTTTTTTGTTTTTTGTTTTTCATTTCTACAGTGGCGCTGATGACATCACCTCCGTTGCATGGCTGAGAATAAAACAAGGAGCACATGTCAAGTTGCATGGTACTGTCCCTGTCCTGTAACAGCGCCTCAGTAAATATTAGTCTTGTTTCCACTGTCATTTCACACAGGCCTAAGTGGGATGTACAGTATAACTTACTCCATTCTTTTCTATTTTCCTTGTTGCCTCTTACTAACAGTCACAGTAAAATTTGGAGAATGTGTGTGTTCTACCGAAAAGGAAGGTTCAAGCCAAATTCAGCTTAACAAACATTCGTGAAACAAAAGCGATGTTCCCATTAGGTTCTGGGAATTAAAGATGATTCCTGGTTACTTGTTGGCTAAATAACCCTCAAAATATAGTTCTTAAAACAACAGTGCGTCATTGCATCTCACGTTTCTGCAAGTCACTGGGACTGTCTGACCAGCTCTCCTACAATGGGAGTCATTTGGCAGGTGAAACACCTGAAGGTTTGTCTGGGCTGAGCATCCAGGACTGCCTACCCTTCACTCCCTTTTCCACTGCATTAGCACTGCTCTCCGTGATATTTTTCTCCAGGATACTAGATGCCTTGCATGGCTCCAAGAGAAACAAATCAGAAAATGTCTGCGGTCCTAGATTTTAATCCTAGAAATGGTCTAGACTCTTTTCTGCCATATTCTCACTGCCAAAGCAGCTACAGACCAGCCTGGATTCAAAGGAGGAGGATAGAATGTACAGGCACACAGGAAGTAATGGTAGTAGGCATCTTCTGAGTCTCTTGCCTTCCTTACTTCTGGGTTTCTAAGTTCTCACCTCTGAAAATGATATCTAATGAAGGACCTCAGATCATAATGTCAGTCTATGGCTGTACCACCCTGAACGCTTTCGATCTCATCAGATCATAATGTTTTCCTCTTAGCTAAAATGGTTTCATCATCTTGGGACTCTTGAACTACAGATTTCACACTTCATGTGAGCATGTTACTTTGCAATTTATTGTTCTGGCTCCAGATTAAAAAGCAAGTTTTTTGGAGGAGGATGTGGTGCCATACACTTGTAATCCCGGGAGCCGTAAAGCAAAATTGTAAGTTTGAGTCCAGCCTGGCCAACTCAGCAATTTAGCAAGTCTGCCTCAAAATTAAAACTGAAACAAAAAGTTTTTGTTCCCATCTCCTGATGCTGCTTTATTTTCTTTTATGATTCCAATAATACTAACTTCTCATGAGTGGCACCCATTCAGGTCATTGTTCCAGCCAAAACTACTCACACGCTTTAATAGTTCCTTGTATTTCTTAAAAGCACTTACCCTAGTTTGTCACTTTATATTAGTGAGATTATTGGATTTGTTTTCCTCATTAGATCCTAAACTCTATATAGACAGGTACCATTTATCTTCACCTACCATGTAGACCTAGTACATAATGAATGCTCAGTATGTTCTTTAAATGAGTTAATGGTTCCAAAGAAAGGTTAACTCCATTAGAATGGAAAGAAATTTCAAATTTATTTTCACAAACATGTTTGATTTTTCAGTGTCAAGCTTTAATAATCTTCATATTCAGTTGAAGAAAAGTGAAATTATTTGTTTTGGGGGGATTCAAGCGATACAAAAATAAGTAGTTCTCTTTAAGAATCTCCTTCTTGGAAGCAGATATGACCTCAGGCAACCTAGGCTCTACGGAGAATAGTTCTAGCTTTCACTCACCATTCCTAACCCCTTGTCAAGTTCCGGTATCTCAAATTCCTTCTCACTTGCCTCATACCTGGTTGCCCATTCCCTCAGATAGATGCTGCCAATGGCTTAAAATCTCCCTGGACTCCCGGGCCCTCTTCAGTCACTCCTTTCAGAGGTGTCCTGCTTCACCTCCAAGTCCACCCATAACTCTGGAATCCTCAACTACTTTCCTGTACCCTGTTTCCCAAGGTATTCAGACACAGCCTCATTTAGCTTTTTCCTCAAACTGGAAAAACAAATAAGCAACTAGGCTCAAAGAATCTCTTAGTCACATTTTTCATTATAAAAAACTTTAAAGATCAAGAAAATAATTTAATTTAATGAACTTTGATACACACACCCAGCATTAGTTATCATCAGTTCATGACCAGCCCTGTTTCATCTGCACCCTCACTCACCTGCTCTCTCCTGTATGATTTTGAAGCCAGTCCTATACATCATAGTATTTAATCCACATGTACTCCAGGATCTATCTCCAAATGATAAGTGTAGTCCACTCTCCATATCCATATTCTTCATTCAAGGGTTCAACCAACTGCAGATTGAGAAAACTTCAAAAAAATTACATGTCCGCCCTGAACACATACATAGTTTCTTCCCTTGTCATTATTCATTAAACAATGAAGCACTGGGCTGGGGATTTAATTCAATGGTTCCACTGCCTGCCTCGCAAGTGCAAGGTCCCAAGCTTGATCCCTGGTACAAAAAAAAAAAAAATTGTTTACAAAAAACAATTGTTTACAAAGAATTGACATTGTATTAGCTATTAAAAGTAGTAATCTAGAGATGAGTTGAAGTATAGTGGAAGATGTCCATTGGTTATATGCAAATATTGTACCCTTTTATATAAAAGGCTTGAACATTTGCCTATGTTTATGCTCATTTGGGTCCCAGAACCAGTTCCTCCATTGAAAATGAAGACTAAAAGCTTTAAAAAACAGAACTACCGGCACTCTGGCAGGCTGAGGCAGAATTCTAAGTTTGAACCTACCCTAGGCAACTTAGTAATTTAGCAAGATCCTATCTCAAAATTTAAAAATAAAAAAGATTTGGGAATTAATTCAGGATCATACATTAACAAAACCCTCTGGGCACTCTGTGTTTTTTGTAAGTACTCATTCTTAGTCTAAAAGACACTGAAGCAGTAAAGCTATCTCCTTTATTACTACCTTCCCCTATGTGCTCTACAAATGAACACATGCACTCTCTGAGGAACAGAAAGCTATATATTTCTGATGACAGCTTTTATTGTCTTGGGGAAGACTTGGCACTAACAGACAAATGGCTTTGCTGTTATCCATGTATTCCCGACAAAGAGTTCCGAAAACTCCTACAGTTGAACAAGTTGGTTTTTCTTAGTCCAATGAGGAAGAAGATACATCATGGGCATCTTTGTAAGAGCATCTTAGTAAGATGTTGTTAAAAAGAACCTGGTATAGGACTTAGGCTGTGGCTGAATTCCTGGGCAGAACCTGAGAAGGCAGCGTTCACTCTACACTGGGTGCCATCCGAACTGGAATCCCCCGCCCTCAGTCTCTCCCCTTCGGAGGACATCACTTGCCGCCGCCACTGCTGCTGCTACTGAGGCCACTGCCTCAAGTTTTCTTAGACTCAGGGCTCCCCTGCAGCAAGTGTTCAGGGAGGAGAAGCGGAGCCGAGGCAACAGTGTCCCACATCACGAGGCCTTCTGCCCTGCATTGCCCCGGCCAGGATGGGCGACAGAAGGCGGCTGCCCTGCCCCTTGCTTTTCCTAGTCGCTTTGCCCCAAGAGCTACGCCTTCCTTAGCGACTTGACCTTTACCCTTCCGGCTGGCCAGGAGGAATGTTTCCACAGCCGTGCTCTGAAGGCCTCGCTGGAGGTGCAGCACCAAGTTTTAGATGGAGCAGGAGCAGACTTTGATTTCCATCTTGCCTCTCCAGGAGGCAAAACTTTAGTTTTTGAACAAAGAAAACCAGATAGAGTTCACACTGTAGAAACTGAAGTTGGTGATTGCATGTTCTGCTTTGACAATGCATTTGGCACCATTTCTGAGAAAGTACTTTTCTTTGAATTAATCCTGGGGAATATGGGAGAACAGGCACAAGAACAAGAAGACTGGAAGAAAGATATAATTGGTACAGATATTTTGGAGATGAAACTGGAAGACATCCGGGAATCCATCAACAGCATCGTGTCCAGAGTAAGCAAAAGCATTCACGTACAAACTCTACCTAGCGCAAATGAAGCTCACGATCGAAGCATGCAGGAAAACAACTTTGATAGAGTCAATTCCTGGTCTACAGTTAATTTAGATGTCATAGTGCTGGTGTCAGCCACTCAAGTTTATATGAAGATAAAAGGAAAAGTACAACTTAACACTCAACTACTTAACAAAGTTGAAAAAAAAGGCAGAAAAATACAATAAGTTGTTACCATTAATAGTCAAGACCATTCGTCTTTTCCAAAATGTTTTCAGGCATTCACAGTAAGTGTGAAACAAATATAATTTGGGTCATTCTTGATCTAAACCATAACACACATATTCTTGAGAAGAAAAATGAATTCATGTTTGAATGAATAAATACAACGTATGAAACCAGTCAACCAGACCAACACCAAGCTCATTTGGGGTAGGCGTCCAACATTTTACTTCATAGGGCAGTAACCAGGACTCACTGCAATCAATTCATTCACTAACTTGAGTGGTTTTCTCAACTCCCCACACCTTCACCTCCTGCTCTTGTACTCAGTGGAAAATACACCACACAACACATACTACAGAATTCCTTGACAATCTCAAAGTTCTACAAGGCAACATTTATCCTTACTGATTGTGATATACCACCAATATTTTCTATTTTATTTTAGTTCAGTTAAAAAGTTAAGTACTGAATATAGTTTATTTTATTGCCTCCTAATAAATCTTGGCCTGTAGTCCAGAAATTTAAGTGTGGAGGGAAATGTAGGCCTAGCCTCTTAATATTCCTTGGGCTGTCCTCACACAGGGAAGACCTTTGTTGGTTGGCATGTGTCACTGTTATGTTCCAGGATCCTCATAACTGGTTTGAAACCAAACCCAGCCCATAGTTAATGCAGGAAAAATTAATTGTAATATTTGTCAAGAAGAATTCCTCTCTTCTAAATGATCAAGGCCTTACATTTAAGAGACAACCACGGAAAGATGAATTTGGGAGATGCCCATTCAACCGAGGTCTTCCCTTGCTGACTCTATTCCTATCCTTGCCACCTCAATTTCGCTCTTTCAATTTGTCATAAAGAGGAAAGGACCCAAAGTTGCCTGGAGAGAGTTAAACAAGAGTCTATGTGGAGTTTAAAAATTCATCAGGAAAAGAAGTCTTAAGCCTGGGCATGGTGACACATGCCTGTAGGCCCAGCACCTGGGAGGCTGAGGCCGGAGGATCACCACAAGTTTGAGGCCAGCCTGTACTACCTAGTGAGTTCAAAGCTAACTGAACTACATAGCAAGTCCATATCTCAAACCACCCCCCCACACACCCCAAAATAAAGAAAAAAGAAAAAAAGAACTTCACTTTGAATATCAAGAGCCAAAGAGTTCAAGAAGCTGATTAAAGCAAAGGAAGAATAGAGTAGCAGGACCAGGCCGTATACTTCGAAATGGTGGAGACTGATGGAGATGGACAAGAGAGGGTGAGTTCCTGGACGGGAGGCTGTGTGGTCATGCCAGGGAGATGTGACCAGAGAGGGCTCTTGACTAGGGTGGAGGAGCCTCAGGGCACTTCCCAGCCCTGCGCAGCAGGAGACTGCTGAACCTGGCCCCCCACTGCCCACTGCCATTTAACAGAGGTGAGCACTTCTAGTTTAACTAAATATCTTGCTGAGCTCAGTTGTTTTAGCTGCTGCAAAAGAGTGTGGTCCCCTTAGAGAGGAAGGAATCCTAACCCATTATGTAATATGGATCAACCCTGAAACGTTATACTACTTGAGGAAAACTGTCACAAAAAGACAAGCATTATATAATGTGACCTTCCGGAAGTAACTGGAGTAGTCAAATTTATACAGACAGAAAATAAAATAGTGACTATCAGGGACTAGGGAGGAGGGAAGAGCCAGGGCTTGGTGGTGAAGGGATTAGAACTTCAATTTGGGAAGAAGAAACATCGAGGAGCTGCGTTGTTGTGACGGTTGCAGTGTGGTGTACCCAGTGCCGTTGAACTGCACATTTATGTTAAAGTGGTTTGAAAGGTAAATTTTGTTATGTATTGTTTACTACATCTTTTAAAGGTTATGAACCATTGTATAAATATAATGTAAATTAAAATGATCAATAATTCTTTTAAATATTTTACCCGTTTAAAACCCTGTGCCCTGGGGACCTCCCCGTACTTAGTGTTCTGCCTCTTCGCACACACAATTAGCAAACCTTTTTTCAATTCCTACTTGTGTGTACAACAACAAGCCATGTTCATAATTTTAAAAAGTGCAGACCAGACGCTACCTACACCACTATCTCCCAAGAAGAGGTGAAAAGAACAACTTCTTCCCCAAACTACCGTCCTTTATGGCCATATACCCAGTTCTCCCGCTTAAAATCTAGGCAATAGTCTTGCTTTCTCCCTTTCCTGATGTTCCTCCTTCCAAACATACTTACCTCTGTCAAATCTGCTGCTTTTCTGCCCCTGCCAACCTCAGCACGACTCACTTGAGCCTCTGCCATAGCCACTTGCTCCTGTCTGGTTTCCCAGCTTCTATCCTTATCCTGCTCTACTCCAAGTCCCACATAGGAACTGTCGTGTTCTTAACAAAAAGGAAGAAAGTAAAGGTTCTATAACTCTTCTGTTTCAAACCTTCCAGTGGTCTCCCTCGGAATGTGAATGTCAACCCTGGCTTCTGACCCTGGCCTACAATACCCAGCATGACTGTCTCTGGTGCCCTTTTCAACAACCTCGCCTCCTCTGCCCTGGCTCCTTACCTCAGCCTGAGGGGCCAGGCTCTTCACCGCCTTTGCCACGTGCTGCTCCTCTGCCTGAAAGAAGGTTCCCGTGTTCACGCTCCAGTCTCATCCCAAACATCCCCGAACATCTGGCAAGGCCAGTCCGCGCCTCAGCTCACCCTACCCACTTCATTATTCTCTCTTCCTGTCCTCTTTGGTTCCTCTACTGGTGTCATCTCCAATCTTATTTATTTTCTTTGTCTTTGTCTCCTCTTTCCACTTCAGCCCCATGAAAGCATCGACCAAGTCTGGACGTCCAGCACTGCTAGCCATAGAACTGGCCAGTGATTAATAAATAAGAAGTGCAAGTGCAAAACATCCCTGTAAATCAAATATAAAGCAGGCAGGAAGTGTACTGTTTGAGAAAGAAAGTCAAGAAAGGCTTAACCAAATAAGCGTGGGGTAGGGGAGTGTGTGTGTGTGTGTGTGTGTGTGTGTGTGTGCGTACCCGTGTAAATGGAGACAGAGATAGAATTAGGAAAAAATACAAGAAATTACATTTCAAAAACATGAACATGTGTATCATATATAAAGCACATACATATGTTACAGATTTTATGATTTTGTTTATAAGATTATACTTTAAATATGGATACACTTTTTCCACTTTAACCTAAATTAATCAGACATTTTTTGTGATCTGCATTCCTGTTGAGATCCAAGAGAACATAATTGTTTAAAAATTGGTTTTCAGCTTTTGATGATTGTAAAATTATAATATATGAGTCAGAAAACATTAAGGAATACAGCCTAATATAACTCTGTGAAACAGGCATGGAATTCAGAAGGCTAAAGTTCAATTCCTGACTTTGGTGGCCTTGAACACTGTCTCACCAGGCCTCCTTTTTCTCGTCTAAAATAACTGTTCTGGGCTAGATGAAATTCTAGCTCTATCAATCTCAGATTCAAGATATATATATATAGATAGATAGATA